CGTACGATGCAGGGCATCTATTTTGGTTACCTGTCAACGTCTAAAGTATACTGATTTCCTGCGGCTTGGAAATAGCACTCAAACCCTTTTCGTTTAGTGTGTGTTAGACAGCCAAATTATGAATATTGGTGATTGAAATCCGTTGTTTAGCTTACTGAAATGGCGTTGCACCCGAAAGTAGAAATATTCACTGACATGGGGTTTGAGACGTGGTACAATTGACGCCGTCTTGGTTATATCATCCTGTCAGCCGTGCTACACGGAGACGGCGTCTCTGTCGTAGAAACCATCTTAGTTCGGTCAAGTTTATTTTAAATTTTGATTCGACGGATAAGCGAAACCGGTGAAGCCCAGCCACCCCCCGTGGGTGTAAAAACTGAGGTGCGCACTTTGCAGTCATGCAAACATAAATAGAAACGTTCTAAAGACGCTAGCAATCCTGCTCATCCGTGAACAAATGCCAGAGGAAAAACAAACTCAAGCCGCAGCCCCGATCAAATGGTTGGAACTCCTTATCCTGCTGCAATATCGCTAATTGGTCGATGCTAATAATTAACCGAGACTGTAGAACACTACATGCGTCATCAGACGTCTGTAATAGTGAACGACTGCGAGAACGTCAGAGGCGGCGACGGTGACGCAAATCTGCATGCATCGATAGCATCGGCAACCGAAACGGACGCCGCCTGTGTTACCACCCCGCGATAGTGTCACCCCTTTGATCCAAATAACCAAAAAGCCAGTCTTTTTCTTGGACACGTCGCAAAAAGCCATAACGGCAAGCGGGCCACATTTCAGGGGTATAGCGTTTGTGCCATATGGTTCCACTGGAACGTGCACGCAAAAGCATGCGCGCGAAAGTTTTTTTTTTTTTTTTTTGCAAGCTTGCAATCGCTTTTGCCTGTTTCATATAGGCACCGAGACATTGCTAGCCTGCCAAGGATTCTTTCTCGCGCATGCTGCATGCACGTGCTGGAGGTTGGTCATTGCCGGCTGTTGCTGTTTGTCGTTCAAGTGTGGCTACATCATTCGGGGACAACTTTCCTTGGCAACGCAGTCAAAGGTATCGGTCCGCGCGCCCTCTCCCATTTCGAGCGCTGACTAAAGCCGTGCGCGCGCTCTCCTCTCCATTCAAACGCCATGAAAAGTTGTCCCCAAATATAGTGTCCAAGTCCCACTAGAGCGACAAACAGAAGCAACCGATGGCCACAAGCCCCAAACGCGCGCAGCACGCATTGACGCGAAGGTACCTATGCCACGCTTGCACTTTCTCGGTGCTCGTGAGGTAAGCAAGGACCACTGCGCGCCTACAAAAGATACACGTGCCCGGTGCACGCGTTTGAGGCTTTCGGTGTCGATTGTTTCTATTTGTTGCTCTAGTGGGACTCAGGCATAGGGCATTACTGATACTCGAGCGTCACTATTGGCGCCGAAATGTTTCGGTGGCACCCTCCTATGGTTCCCTGTTGTGACGTCATTGGCTTGCGAAGAACGAGTTCGATGGTGTTTGTAATGAGCATGGTGGAAGCTCGAAATCATTGCACTCTGAAACCAACACTGTCAACAGCGTCAAAATTGAAGTTCTTACATTACATTTATTTCCGTCGATGAGAAATCCTTTGCTGACGTCATAGTCAGCATTCGGCCAGTCGTGCCAGGCCGACCAAAGCGACGCTTTCAATCGATCACGTCGCCAGTAGGGCGACGAACGAAATCAATAGACCATTTCATCAAGGAGAATGCAGAGATTGGTGTTCCACGCGGCACACGCGCACGCCTTCCCCGTATAAAAGATTCGAAGTAAATAACCAAAATAAAGCGTTGACGGACGCGAGTGCAAGACGTTATTTGTTTTAGGTATTTGCTTAAGAAAATTTACTACTGCTAAGGCCAGCACGTGCGGCGCGTGGAACACCAATCCCTGCATTCTCCTTGATTCTTGAATAATATATCCATATATCTATTGACGCCTTCCAGCCTCAGGCACGAGAAGCATGCGCGCGAAGCCTCCCGAGATACCTTCGCGTTCATGCAGCACGCGCTCGAGGTTCGTCGGTGTTGATAGTTGTTCTCTGTCGGGACCCTGGAACAAAAGGACATCCTTCCACTTGTTGTCGACTGTGGGGCACAAAACGCCACTGAGTGGCCAGCAAGGTCTGCGTTTGCATTACTCCGACGTGATTTAATGAATAGGGTGTCTCCATATTACGTTAATCACTCATTTGCTTCTCTGCAGTCGACATTTGATTGTGTATACTCAAGCATCGAACTGTTCGCCTTCGGCAGACACCAAGCGGCTCATAATAACAAAATAGGGGACTAAACGAAGTGGATGAAAACACGTCATCGAGCCTGGTTCTTTCTTACTCTATTGTTTCTTAAACTGTGGTCTGTACACTCTACCGAAGACGCGATCGCGATGGGCCTACAACATTTCTCTAGGGGTACCTTGGTTACACGAGAGCTCGCGTAGGAAATGACCATTGCTACACACCAACACGCGGATCCGACGTTACGCAGGTGCGGTGGAGCTTCTGTCGACGCTGCGCATGCGCAGACGCATCACTAGGCGCGGATCTAGTTCCCGCGCACGCGCAGTGCAGACTTTTCTGTACACAGCCTAAGAAACTCAGGGCGCCATGATTAGTTTTGTTATCGTTCCGCAACCGATGGGTTTGCGGCATGTAGCTGATAATAACGCCGCAGAACCAATGACGAAGTGCCATCATAATAGGCTACGCCCTGCATTTCTTAGCTAAAGCACCAGCTTCCATAAAGCGGCGAGCTCGTTCCTGCGCCCAGTACAGCTTCGAGTAAAAAGTCGGTCAGGCTTTTTGCTTTGTTTTTTCCTCCCTTGTTTATTCAAAGCTTCGCAACTTTCGCTCCTTCCAATCCACGCTTTGTGGCATTAATGTAGCCCCATTCTAGGTCCTCTTTCCTGGCTTCTATGCGCCAAGATCCGCAGGCGACCGTTGGCAGTATTATACTAGGCCACACGCGAAGGCGCTATGAAGGCTTCGGCTGTAGTGCATAAATCCGCCTCGCTTTCTGACAGCGGCTTTGGAAGACAAATGCGCGAGGCACACATCGGAGGACGGTTGAATGACCGCGTGGCCTCCAACGCCGTGGAACACGACCAACGGTAAGAGATAAAGGAGAGTTGCGACAGGCGCTGCACGAGGCGGACGCGGAGAAACGCCCTTGCCGCGCAGCGGCGGCAGCCAGCGCCAATGCGCGCCGCTAAAACCACAAATCCCCGGCGGCGGATAATCAAACGGGATGGGGACAAAGAGTCAGCGACCTGCAACCAAAACGTCGTCCCACGCATTTGCTGCCACCGTGCGTAATCCTTGCGCAATCCTCTATGGTAATGATCCGGATTGTCAGTCTGCCCTCGGAAACCGGTCTATGGAGGCTCTGGGGGGTTTGCCGCCGGAAAGCTCGCACGTCACACACACGCACACACACGGGGGGACCCTTGTATCCGCACGCGCTGTGCCCTCGAGCAGAAAGCGACCGAAGAACTGGAAACGCGGTAGCCGCTGGCTTCCTTTCTGGAATTGTGACACCGCGACTCACTTTCTAAGGCCAGTGACCGCGGCGAACGGGACCGGTGTGCGTGCGCAGTTTCCAACTCTGTTCCGAGCGTGAAAGAAGCGATAAACACGGGGCGGTGCGTTGCCGGCGATGTTGTTTTGCACACCTCGGCTCGCGGTGAAGATACCGAAGGGGGCATCGTACTTTTCCTTCTCTAGAGTGCATATTTCCCGCGTTCCTTTTTGGTTTGATTTGAGATTTTAGGACGCCACTTGAAAGGGTCAACCTGCGGAACATTGAAAGCAAAAAGAGGCGCCATAACCTATCCCCTGCTTTCTTATGTGGTGATTCGTTGCATGTTTGTTTGTCTTTTGTTTTCTGTCAAATATACGCGGAGTCATTTTGGTTTACCTTTACAATAAGAAGGTCAGCAGGCGCTGAACGTTTCGCACTATGTAATCATACTTACGACGTTTCCTGTGAGCCTCTTGGTTTTTCATCTTGGAGGGTATAACGGGATCAAACAGAGGTCTTATGGTGCGTAGGGAGTTAACACGGCTCAAAGGAAAGCTTCACGAGTCCCCATGAGCAGAACACTAGGACAGTGTTAGAAAAGTAGGTAACCGGAGACTACCTGCGCCATAACGAGGGAAAGCGGAAGTTGTCCGTTGACGGTACAGGTAATCGTCGTAATAAACATCACCTTAACGCGGATACATCCCCAAGTCGTACAGTCCAAGCGCGTGCTGCGAATATCCGAGCTAGACAAGTAAAGGCTACGTGATTGCTCCAAAAAGTGAGGAAGCGTAAGGTATTGCGCAGCAGACAGCACAGCATTTCATCGTCTCGGTGCTTTTTATTGACTTTCCAGCTGCGGTCATGACTACAGAAGCGCGAGAAAGACGAAAAACTAAGAAAGCTGGAATTCCTATCCAACCGTCAGGAAGTGTACGGTTCTATAGTGCAATCCACCAATGTACCAAAAAAAAGAAAAAAAAAAAAAACGGGTGTAGTTCTGCCATCACCCGTGCTAGGACTTTCTTTAGTCCTGTTTAAATGTAGCTAGTTTCTTTTATTTTATTTCGGTTTAAGCATCTTGTTACAAACAGAGGCAAAAGCCACGGAGAGGTCCGGCGCTCCACGTGGGCCGCTAACTGTTCAAGGTAGCTTTCCGTTGTCACCCCTGCGTTTTCACTTTCCCGCGGGCCGCTCACGGTAAAGGCGACACGGGAGCAGCCCCCCCACCCTCTCCCATCACAAAAAAAAAAGGGGGGGGGGGGGGCGGTCGAGTTCGTCCACACCGCTGCGCTGAATGGGGTCACTGGCAGAGACAGGTATTCTTCTTTCTCCTCGCGCGAGATAGGCGCTCATTCAAGCTGTCCCCTCTCCCGCCAGCCTCTCCCGCTCCCTCTCCGAGCGACAGCCTTTATAAGGCACCGCCGTTTGCCGACACGATCAGAACAGCTCTTGCTTTCTTGGCTCCTGCGCCAGAAAGAAAACCCACCATGCGATTCGCCCTCGTGCTTTCCCTTCTGGGCGCCGCTTCCGTCTTGGTGACGGCCAGTCACCGGTCCGTACAGACGTCATCCGGACTTCTCAGCGGCGTTCGCTCAAAGGTCTCCAACCTCGGTTACGTCCATCGCTTCCTGGGCGTTCCCTACGCTCAGGCTCCGGTCGGTCAGCTCCGGTTCGCGCCTCCTGTAGCCCTGGAAGAAGACGCCGCCAGCAGACACCTGGACTCGAGTCAACATGGACCGTCCTGCTACCAGCCACCACACCTGAAGCAACTCATCAGCGATCTGCTGGACACCACGTCAACGGAGATGAGTGAGGACTGCCTCACGCTTAATGTTTACGTTCCTGAAGTCGACGACGCTGGCCGGCTCCCCGTCATCGTCTGGCTACCCGGCGAAGGCTTCGATTACGCCATGTCTCGTCACTTCGACGGGAGTTACATGGCGTTGCAGGGGCGGGTCATCGTGGTGACGGTCAACTATCGAGTGTCGGCCTTCGGCTTCCTGAGCACGCTCACGCCAGACGCTCCGGGCAACGTGGGACTCCTCGATCAGCGCATGGCTCTCAAGTGGGTAAAGAAGAACGCCGCGCACTTTGGCGGAAATCCCGAGAAGGTGACGCTCATGGGTCGCTTTTCGGGATCAATGAGCGCGAGCATCCACCTTGCCAGTCCCATCAAGGAGAGGTTGTTTGAGAGGGCCGTCTTGCAGAGCGGGATTGCGGTTGGGGACTACGTCTTCGACTTTTCGCCGCTCAACGCCACCAGGAAGCTGTCCGAGGTCGTCGGCTGCCAGAAGGACTCCATCCCTGACATGGTCAGTTGTTTGAAGAACGTTCGGGCTTCGGAGCTGCTAAGCAACTCGCTTCGAATTGGACAGTCTTTCCGGCCAGTCCTTGATGGATCCCTGATCGTTGAAGAGCCCATGGAAGCTGTCAAGAAGGGTCGCCATCAGGCTGTGGACGTCGTCATCGGTACAAACCAACACGAAGGCTCGCTCTGTTTGCTCACGCTCCAGTACCTGAAGTCCAACTACTACGACCGCCTTCTTAAGGACAAGCTTACCACGGATGATCTTGAAGAAATGATTCGCTTCCACCTGCAAGACTTTACGAAAACTGGGGAAGACACTCTCGCCAGGGTGGTTCTTCATGAGTACCGTTACCAACACGTCAAGGATGGCCTGCGGTCCCAGTACCTCCAGTTTTGCGGAGACATGTATGTCTCCTCGCACGCCGAGCAGATGGCCAGGCTTCTGTCCCGGCACAAGAAGGGTTCCGTCTACGTCTACCAGTTCGCGCATCGTCCATCGTTCTCAACGCAACCGAGCTTCGTTGGGGCTGTTCACGGCGACGACGTCCTCTTCGCCCTGGGTCTCGTTCTCAAGCAACAGGACATCTCTAAACAGGAGGCCCTCCTCAGCAAAAAGATGGCGCTCTCCCTGGGAAACTTCGCTCTCGATAGGTTCGTATCTCCTCTGTTTTTCTCCTAATCTTTTCAGGCTATTGCCGTTATACAGCAGGCAGCTTATCGATTGATACAGCTCGAATTGGGTCACTAACGGTTTTGTTTGTTTTTAATCTACAGTGATCCGAGCGTGGTCGATGACCTGGACTGGGACTTGGACTGGCCCGAATACAACCAGGAGAGCCAGCACGTGATGCATTTCACCACCGGGCGCCCGATGGCGAGGCATTCTAAACTTGACAGGGCCACCTCCTTCTGGCACGAAATTGTGCCCCTGGTCGAACTGAACGGCGTTGTCCCGGCCCTGCATCAACCTGCCATTGCTGGTCACTCCATGGCTCTCACGTCATCCAAGTCTTTCGTGTCTGCTAGTCGCTCCGCGTCGACGGTCAACTTGGAACATCAAACACCGTCTGCAGGGCAGAGCGCGACATACATAATCGTCGCAATGGCAGTTTGTAATATCGTTTTGTTAGTGGTGGCTGCTGTGAGCATCACCAAGTTGTGCAGGCCTGACTCGAGGTATCACACGTTACAGAAATTTTAAGCCGCATCGAAAGTTAAGCGAAAACTCGTGAAAATAATGTACATAGACTTTTCATCGCATTCTCACGTGAAATAGTTGTCCCTCCAAAAAAAAGCAAAAAGTGATTCAAGAGGTGTTTTACAAGGATCCCCACGGTCAGAAACTCAAGTCGATGTTATTTATGAAAAAAAAAAAACGCACTTTTCATGCCGATGGAGGGCTACGATTACCGCATTTAATCATCGCTGTAACGACAGCAGCATTGTATATAGATTGACATTCATTAGGTCAAGACATTGTAAATAGCACTGTAAATATCGAATTGCATGTCATTCTACACTTAGAAATGTTTCATTGTCATCGCTGTATATACGAATCGTGTTCCTTCTAGTCACAGTTTGAGGGCACGAATTCCTTACATTGTCAACCTGAGAACAAGAAATGATGATCTAACGTGGAACTCTGTGAAGTTTTCTACGCTCTTTGTACATATTTGCATCGACACTCTTCATCAAAGATGATAATAAAAGCAATCTTTTTTTACGTGAATGTGGTGGGAGCTGTTTTACTCTTATTTGCTGCTTGCCAAGCGGATCGTCCTTATATGAGAGTTGCTTCTAAAGCCCTGTGCTATTTTTTATTGCTTTTCATTACACTTGTACAAAATACGAATTGCCTTTAATTAGGTTATTGTAGCATTACTCAAAAGATCGGCCAAGCTTATGTCGCACATAAATAAGCAAAATAGTCTTGTTGCCCGGAAAAGAAGTACCAAACAAAAATTAAAAACAATACTTGAAAAAAAAAAAAAAAACTTTTTTAAAGGCAACAGTGTCTTTTGTTTTACTACGGTGTCAACAAAGAAAGAATGGACTCAGCTTTAAAAAAGTGTAAATCAAAAAGTTAGACATAATATTAAAAAAAAAAAACAGCACACAAAATATATGCACAAGAAGATGCATGCACTGTCTGTCCAGTCCTTTTGTGCGCTGTTTTTTTTTTTAATTATTATTTTATTTAACGATCACCGACTCACCCAGAGTACCGCCTACTGCAAAGAGTGTGAATGTATATCGTAAGGTTTACTTGCTTGATTTATTCCACACGATCAAGGTTTCTGGTCTCAACAAGTCGTTTTATACTGCATGGTATACGTGGTGAAAGGCAACTTTCACCACGTATAGTCGATGTGTCTATATTCACGCACACCACATGAGCGCCCTTTCGGAAGTTCAAAACGGGTTATCATAACAGAGATATCGATAAAAGATAATCTGCTTCCCGCCTTCCTCCTGATATCTGCATAGATTATCTGACTACTTTCCCTTTTTGAGTCAATCCCATTTATCGGTATGGTTCCACCAACCAACCCTATAACCACCGAATGACTAACGGAGTATGCGAGTAAGACCGTCCAGAATGATTTGTTCGCGTTGACTAAACTCGCTTATACAAGAGTTAACTAGGTTTTGAGTAGCTCGTATTGACAGAGATAATGACCTTGCTATATTGACGAAACCGGGAAGCACGAACATAAAAAAAAACGAGCGCCATCATTATATTTTTGTTTGTTTTGTTTTGTTTTTATCTTGCACTTACTTTTTCTTTTAATTAAAAAGAAAAGGCCCGCCTGTTAGACACGATGAGCGCGTAAAATCCGTGCCACAAGTGCGACGGTCGTGTTTTGAGGATTGTGTCAAATTTAGCTTACAATGCTAAGCCGTTGAGCCCTCAAGCGGTATTAAGGACACTATAACAGTGGCTCTAGTCATAGGGCCAGTTTCACGCAGTTGAAGCGGGAACAACTTGGTCACCAAACATATACGGCCCTTAAACAGTGCCTAAGCGACACTGCGTTTTGCTTCGTTTCCGGGAAATGCAAAGCCATTTGTCGCAGTCACAAAGTAGACGATCATTACCGATGAAACATAAGGCTATCAAATTAAGTATTGACCCAGTTGCCCTAACAGGTTGACTTCCATCTATTGCCTGTGGATGGACACGATAAGTAATAGACTTTACATGAGCTTAGCCTGGAAGTCTCGAAGCGATCAACAATGATCTCTAAATTGAGGGTCGAAGCAGGTAATTTTGCTAGATGGATACGGGTACTTTCATAGTGTATATTTGCTGCAGTTGGAGGCTTCTGGATCAGTGCGTGTTAATAATGGACGCTTCATAGGCAACGCAATTGCGTCATTTGAGCTACCACATCATCAGCACCACTGCGCCACCACAACGTCGTGACGTCATCGCGTAGTAGAGATCTATTCGGTGCATATTTTCAACGACCTCGATAATATGGTGTCCTACTCAAAGCCTCTCTCCCTCGCTTTCAGACACTCGCACGCCCCCTCTCCACGCACGACCGCCTTTATAAGGCACCGCCGTTCGCCGACACGATCAGACAAATCCCCCAGCTTTCTTTTGCTCCATCGCCAGAAAGAAACCAGCATGCGACTTATCCTCGTGCTCGCCCTGCTCGGCGGCGCAGCCGCTCTCGCGGCAGTGACTCGCAGAGCCGTACAGACGTCGTCCGGACTTCTCCGCGGCGTTCGCTCCAGGATTTCCAGCATGGGCCACGTCGAAAAGTTTCTTGGCGTGCCTTATGCCAGAGCTCCTCTGGGTCAGCTCCGCTTTGCTCTGCCCGTTCCAATAGAAGAAGATGCTGCGAGAAGGCAGCTGGACACCGACAAGCACGGCCCGTCCTGCTTCCAGCCTCCGCATCTAAAGGAAGTTATGAGCAACCTCTTGGACACAGACTCAACAGAGATGAGCGAAGACTGCCTCACGCTCAATGTCTACGTTCCCGAGCTGCAGGACGCCGAGCGGCTACCCGTCATAGTTTGGCTTCCTGGAGAGGGGTTCGATTACGCCGTGGCTCGTCACTTCGACGGGAGTTACCTGGCCCTGCAGGGAAGGGTCATAGTGGTGACGGTCAACTACCGGGTGGCGGCGTTCGGCTTCTTGAGCACGCTTACCACCGAGGCCCCCGGCAACGCGGGACTCTTCGACCAGCGCATGGCTCTCAAGTGGGTGAAGAAGAACATCGAGCACTTCGGTGGAAACCCCGACAAGGTGACGCTTATGGGACGCTTCACGGGCTCCATGAGTGGTAGCATCCATCTTGCTAGTCCCATCAAGGAGAGGCTATTTGAGAGGGCCGTCTTGCAGAGCGGAATTGCGGTTGGTGACTACGTCTTTGATTCAGCACCCCTGAACGTAACTAGTAAGCTCGCCAATGCCGTCGGATGTCAAAGAGACTCTATTGCTGGCATGGTCAGTTGCCTGCAAGAACTGCCTGCTTCGAATTTACTCAGCAGCTCGCTTCGCATTGGACAGTCTTTCCGTCCAGTTTTTGACGGCGAGCTCGTTATTGAGGAACCCATGGAAGCCGTAAAGAAAGGTCGCCATCAGGCAGTAGACGTCATCATTGGGACGAACCAGCACGAAGGTTCGCTGTGCTTGCTTACTCTTCAATATCTCAAGTCCAACTTCTACGACCGCCTCCTCAGGAACACACTGACTTCCGAAGACCTAGATGAGATGGTTGACTATCACTTGCATGACTTTACGAAGAAGAAGGATGATGTGCTCGCTAGAGTGGTTCTTCACGAGTACCGCTACCAGCACGCCAGGGAAACTTTCCGCCACCAGTATATACATTTCTGCGGGGACATGTACCTGGCGTCACATGCGGAAAAAATGGCTAGGCTTCTTTCGCATCACAAGAAGGGCTCTGTTTTTGTCTACCAGTTTACACACCGGCCGTCTTTCTCAACCCAACCGGGTTTCATTGGTGCCGCTCATGGCGACGATGTCCTTTTCGCCCTGGGTCTTGTTTTGAAACAGCAAGATATTCCTAAAGAAGAGACACTCCTCAGCAAAAAAATGGCCCTTTCCCTTGGAAACTTTGCTGACAATAGGTACGTATTTATTTTTTTTTCTTTCTTTTTGCACTTTTTTTGAGCCAGTCGTGTGGTTGGGCGAGTCGGTACATAATAAAAATAAATAGAACAGAGCAAAAAAACAAAAAAACAAGGACCAATGGAAGACACACACAAACACAGTGCTGACTCACGACTGTCGTTTTCTTTTTGTAACGAAATGCATTAACAGAAATGAAGGGATGCTATGTCTTGTTTCTATTGTTTCGTTTGCTTTTGTGGCAATACATTTCGTTACAAAAGAAATGAACTGTCGAGTGTTAGCGCTGTGTATTCTTTTTGCTGCTGTATTTATTTTTTATCAGAATATAGAAACTAATGTATCGCAACAAGCTCATCGAGGGAAATGGGTCAAACCATGCTCTCAACTGTTCCACATTTTTTTCTATTCCGAATAGCGATCCGAGCCTGGTCAATGACCTCCGTTGGGACATGGAGTGGCCAGAATACAACCGGAACAGCAAACACGTGATGCATTTTGTCACTGGACATCTCACGGCCAAGCCTTCCAAGTTAGACCGAGCCACGTCTTTTTGGCACGAAGTCGTCCCGCTGCTCGAAGAGACTAGGACCTATAGGACCGTCCACCAACCCATAATGACAGGTCACTCTATGGCCATGACGTCATCACGGGCCTTCGCCTCCGAACCAGGCCCACTCCTGTTCTCAAGTCGTCCTGGAATCGCGTTGAGTTTGCCAGAACACCTTTCCACGACAACGCGAGGCACAGGGTTTATCATCGTTGCCATAGCTGTTTGTAATGTAGTCTTGGTTGTGGCATTGACTGTGAGCGTTACTCTCTTATGCCGACCACAGGCTCGGTACCACTCACTGGAAAAGCTATAGGGAGTATTCACTGACGGCCATATCCGTGTGCGCTGCTGCTGAGCGCGTGCTGACGGCGAGTTTCCGCAGTCCTTTTGGAGCGTGCATTTAGCACCATCAAGGTTGGCGGTCTTAGAGGGCTATTAATGTGAGCTCGTTCTGAGCATGCGCTCTAAACATCGCCCTCAAATATGGCGCCAGTGAATACCTCCTATAAGAAACTGTGTTCCGAACATCGAGTGTATAAACCAAGTGTGGCCAAACTGCGGCTCGCGAGCCGCATGTGACTCTTTGCGGGTCAAAGTGCGGCTCGCGGCTCCCTGATGAGTGATCTCCCACTCCCATTCAGTGTCCCCAAGACGAAAATAGTTCGAGAATTGAAAAAAAACTCACAGTGCTGGCAGCCGTGTACTACACCCCGTACATACAGCTGGACTGCCTTTTGAAATATAGATATGTTCATTGACCCTGTTTCTTTTATTGTTCACGAAGAAATTTCGAACTTTATGGGCAAACAGCACCAGGGCCAGTGGCTGGCTAGCGAACCATGCATTGATTCATGCTTAGCGCTTGAAGAAACGTTCTGCAGCCTGGTGTTATTTGTTGTAGTCGACAATTATACGTGTCCCCTCTGGAAATGACTGTTCCCTCCATATCGTTTCTTGTTAAAAGTATTCCCCCCCTTTTTTTTTCTTCTCCGGTTTTTTGAACTTTTGTAGTTATGTCTCCGGCTCTAAGCCCCTGTCACTCTGGCCATCCTTGGTACATTCCGACCCACTGTTATATTTTTGTGGCGATCAGTTACGCTACTGCAGTGTTGAGGCCACCTTCTGTGCGTGTGTTTGTTTTGAAGACCAGCGACTTGAAGAATATCACACTATTTATAAAATAAGACATTTCGTTCGCCTGGAAAAGTAGGATTGTCAAGTTCTGTTTGTGTACAGCTTAGAAGAAGTGAGTGAATTACGATTTCGTAGGCGGTATTCAACCGCCGTACAAATTCTAAACCACGTGAACATCGCGTGTCTCAGTATGTTGTTTTCTGAGACAGCATGTGTCAAGGCTCTCCTGAATAGGGGTACTTCTAGTCATTATGCGCACTTTTTTGTTGTTGTGGGCACTTGGAAATAAAATGCACGAAGTTTTCGTGGAAGGAGCTGTTACAGATTTTGTACATAAGTGAATTACAACGCGTTCGTGCCAAATAAAATTTAAACAAATAGTTTTACGCCAAACAAATGTCCTGTCATTATTGAATCGAACTCAGCAGGTTGGAGCCTGCGATGGCCAATGAAATCCGCGCTCTTGTGTGTATCAAAAGAAAGTGGCAATTGAACTGCGCGCAAGGGGAACTCCACTTACTATCGAATGGCTACCGGGACACATCGGCATACCCGAAAACGAGAGGGTCCATTGAGCTGCAGTGAAGGCAGTCAACATAAACAAATCCGCTCAAAGCCCAAGGTATCGGGAGGAGAAGACGAAGGCCGGAGTAGTGGACCCGGGTCCCGGAAGCCGAACTTGACAGGCAGGCGAGAAAGGCCTACCTTTTGGTTTGCTAGCAGTAACAGATAATAACTACGGTATACGGAAGATTGCAAATGGTCAATATTCATATGATCAGGACCGTAACCTTACTGCCTCAACCGCAAAATAATTGTTTTTTTGTACAAAGACGGTGATTTAACATGCAAGACTTGCACCAATGGCATTCCAGCGCAGCACTCCAACACTTGTTTGGAAACTGCAGAGGCCTGGTAAATCATAGACGAGAAGTCCTGCCTACCATCCAAGGAGAAGAAAAAAATGGACAACAATAGAGAAGTGGGCCTGTCCGGGGCACATCAAGGCACAAAAAGGAAATACTTGACTTTCTAATGTCCTGCGCCAGGAACGACGTATTCACACTGGCCGTTGAACCACGTTCTCAAAGCGGTTGCGTAGGCAATTTCTTCAACATCCAATACAATTTCACGCGCCTTTGGCGACGAAACGAGTGGACCCGCTTGGAGGTTGCAATTCGAACGCCAGTATGAATGCATCTGAAGAGGGAAACCCATCAATTCATCTAGATTTCGCCCGTAGTCATAAGCATTTCTAATTGCATGAGCCCCCTCCCGGAGCGGGGTACAAATCTAAATCATGTGATCCCTTTCATATTAAAATGACACTTTTCCCTATTTCTCTGTGTCTATGAAGAGGCACATGTGCACACATATGCTGACGCACGTACACACGTGGGTCGAAAATTCGCTTCACGCGCTGTGTGATGGTTCATTGGAGACAACGCACTGTGCCATTTCCGACGTAGTGAAGGGTGCGCGTGGATTACTTTAATCGTAGCTAGAGGAGTGCGAGTGAGCGGGAATGGATGAATGAATAAAGCGTTTATTGAGAGCGTGGTTGCTGCCCTGAGTATCGGCCCTTAGCAGAGCGCTAACTTAGATCTTAAAGATGCTTGTGGTGGGTTGCCAAAAGTCACCGATTCCGGCGGCCTGGTCGACAATGAGGTCTAGGAGCGGGTCCCAGAAGTCCTCGTCGACGGTGGGCGCTGGATGAATAGACTCCTGAAGGGATCCTGCTTTGAGTATTCTTTGCGTCAAAAAAATGAGCAGCGGGCAAGATAAGAAAAAGGTGCATTCATTTTTTATCCATCGCTTTGTAAAAGACTGGGCTGTGTTCCAGCGGTGCTTCTCTGTAGACTATATTGAAATTCGATAGCGTTGCTTGTCTTCTAAAAAGGCTACATTCTGGTGTCTACGCCTTGTCCCGAGAGCCGCTCATGCTCGCTTACAAGGAGAGGGGGACGACGTGTGTGAATTATTCTCCCGCGAGGGCGCATGCGTTTAGACAAGGCGACCGGTATTTTTCAGGGGGTGACCAAATGCTGGCGCATTTATTAACTTGACGGTTCGCCCAAAATGAAGGCTTTGACAGAAGGGTCATTCCACGCCAAACAACCCAGGCCTATGTTCGACCCTCACGGATTCCATCTAAAAGAATGTACGTGTTATTGGTTATGTAAAAGTATATTTTTCAATATAGTTTTGTACAACTTTTTATATACAGCTTTACGACACTTTGAATTTTGTGGAAAACAGGCCCCAAGAGGTAGAATACATAATTTTTCGAGAAAGGTTCAAAACGAGACTTTTGTTTGACCATTTATTATAGGAAACCTAGTATCACATTCTTATCAAAATATCTTATTTTTAAATATAATTTGTTTCCTTTAGTACTACCACAAAAAAGTTTTAGGTATTATTATGGTAGCGTGTTTTTTTTTTTTTTTTTTTTTTAAATATAGAGTGAAAATGAGCTTTCATGGCTTTTTTAACGCATCTGCACCGTTAATAAGAATCAGAAATGTTTGAAAAGGAACAAAAGAAACTATTGGATGATTGAGAAGACTGTATTGACCTACTAAAAGCGGTGCTTAATGTTCAGGCTCTTTTCAAACCTTTCTAGAAAAATGTTGTATTTTTCTCCTTGGAACCTGCTTTCCGCAAAATTCAAGGTATCGTGAAAAATATAATAAAAAAACGTTAAAAATACATTGGAAGAGGAACATCACCAATAACACAGACAATATTTGCAGCCCGAACCCGTGATGGTTGAATTTAGGCCTGGGTAGTGTGGCGTATGGAACGATTCAGCAGTAAATGAATCGAGTAAAAACACGCAATAGACCTTTCGCTAAATGACCCAAGCATCAACGATAATGATGGGAATCTAGGTACACGCGCTGCACGTGATCGCCTTCCCTGTAGAAAAAAATTCGAAGTAAATAACCAAAATAAAGCGTCCGTGAAACGCGTCTTCGAAGTTTCATTTGTTTTTGATGTTTGCTTTCGCACAGTTGCAGCTGAAGACGCCAGCACGCGCAGCGCGTGTACCTACGTTCCCGGCATTCTCTTTGATGCGTGGGTAATTCAGCAAAAGGTCTATTTCATGTTAAAGAAATTTTATGCGCAGCAAGGGCGGCCAGTGAATATTTTTTTCTTGCGTATCCTGGGTACCGCGTGTTTACTGTCGAAGTGCTCAGGGGTAGTGCCATAAGCATGTGGGCACCCAGGTTGATGAGTATAGTTTAAAAAAAATTGGCGACTATTCGTGAAATTTCAGTCGAACTTGCACATGTGCATCATCAGGTTTACTGCCAATCTTGAGAATCATGAAGTATAGGTATGGCAGAAAAATTATTTAAATACATTAATACCTTGATAGCGAACAAAGAATAGACGGCACTAGGCTAACGAGCGGCAGCGACGTTTTCTTTTAAAAGCATCCTATAGTAATAAAAAATGGAGATCTTTCCCCAAGCGATTGACGTCGCAAATGAAAATGGCGGCATTTTACGCCATGTTCCATGACTTGTTCTGTAGGCTACGAGCGCTAGCGGAGGAATTTGCAGGGAGAATTTTCTCGTAGGAGAGTAGCAGGCAAACTAAGTGTTGAGCAGAAGTATACTCTGCCTCTAGATCATCTGGTAGCATATATAGCCGGTGGCAGGTTAGGAGTTCCACTAAAAGCTCCTTTTATCTCATTCTACTTTAGCAGACCAAATTGCGGAGGTCGCGACTGTAGACAGACAACTTGGAAGATGTAACGACGTAAGTGTATACATTCGTGTAAACCATGCTACACGATGCACTTTGCAGACCCCGGGTTTGCGGTTGAACTGCAATGGGTGAAATGCCCTTCTACACGCAAAGACAGAAGTTGACAATTCATAACAAATCATTTAGAAAAAAAAAGTATGTCACAACAGAACTTCGATCTGTTGTGACATACTCTTAAAAAAAGACTATACTTTTAACCCTGAACGCAGTTACCAGCCGAGTTTTGAGTGACCAGCACCATGCGTTTAAATGTGGCGTTGGAAGGTCAATCTGCTTTCGCGGTTTGGTGATGCTCGTTTAGTGGGAAGAATGATGGCCGGTTCGGTTCATACGTAGAGCGCAGCGCCCAATCGATGCTGGAAAACGGCGCTGATGCAGCTCTGACTTGCACTTGACTTATAACTGCTGAGGTTCCACAGTGGTACACGTGACTTATCGCCGATGTGCTGTTACATGATACAGCGCCGATGCATCGATGCTAAGACGACAAGAATCAGTGCACTGCGGCATGCATTTCGACGTAGTTATGGTGCACCAAGAGGCAATAGGTGCTTATTCTAGATTGTACGCCGAGGATGGAGGGCCCTGTGGAAGTATATACTGTACTCAGTCTGTGCTCAAAGTGAAGCCACATTCCCCCGATAGCAACGCAAGGTTCTTGCGTGCGATCTACGAAATGCTCCAAATAATTAAGCATCCCCATGCATGCGCATGCCAACCAAATGTTTAGGCGGCAATAAAATTAAGGCTACGTTCGGGGGTCCCTTGCGTTGGTGGTTCTTGGGCGGCGAGCAAAGCCAATACGCGCAGTCTTCACTTTTCTCATATATAATTACCAACATTGAGACAAAGGAAGCAAATAGGACATACGAAGCACTATCTCATAATCGGTGAGTCGGTGGATTGTGCATCCTTTTTGTTGCCTTTGCCTCAATGTGTTTTTAATCATGATAGTGCACCAGCTCGGCAGCGCTTTGACTCTTATTTCAGTACTTTTTTTTTTCTCTAGATGACACATTTGGCGCGAGCGATGGCTCCACACGTTTTTTTGCCCGCACCGGCAACTTAAGTAACAAAAAGCGTGGTGGGTCACGATAATCTAATATTCTCTCCTAGGTCAATGGAATTGCGGCATTCGGTGTCAAAAACACCGAAGAAAGGATCAAAAAGCAGTAATCATGAAGACAGTAAGCGACGTCATGTGTTTCTTAAATTGTCGGTGCACGTCTCGTCCCGCGTTTCCTAAGCTGCAAGTAAGTTCATTTATTAGATAGGCGTATTGCTTAATAAATGCTTGCCAAAAAAAGATCTTTGGGGATCGGAAAATAGACATAATAATTGCGCGAACAATGACCAATCGAACACGGGACGCTTTGTTCACGTTGGTACGCGGGTACACTTGTCTATTCTCCCCGCCCAGCTCGCGGATATTTCTTTCTCGCGCGACCTTGAGCTATTCTTATCCCGCTCTTATATATGCGTCTTTTTGTCTTCGGAGAAGCTTGCGGAGTGTTTGTGATAGGTGCGACCT